TGCAGGATCCCTGTGTGATCCCGGTGTGATCCCGGTGTGAGGGGATGCAGGATCCCTGTGTGATCCCTGTGTGATCCCGGTGTGATCCCGGTGTGAGGGGATGCAGGATCCCGCTGCAAGGAGCTCCATGATCCCCCGTGCTCCTGATGGAAAGGGATGCACGATCCCGGTTCACGGGACTGCACAAGCCAAACACAGCGCTACCTGCACCTCCCACCCCACCCCTCCTCTCCCGACCCGTTTTTGGGGTGGAAACACCCGCTTTAGGGGAAAAAAAACATTTTTGGGGAGGCCCCCCCCACTTCAGGGAAGGCAAGCGCCGAGCGCAAACTCCCGCCGTGGCCCGGGCGGGGACTACAAGTCCCGGCAGGCGCGGCCTCAGCTCCCGGCGTGCCCGGGGCCGGCGGAGCGGAGCGAGGGCAGCGGAACGGGCCGCGCCGGGCCGGGCGGGCGCTGCTGCCGCCCTCCCTCGGCACGGGGCCGAGCCGGGCCGAGCCGAGCCCAACCGGGCCGGACTGCGCTGAGCCGAGCCCAGGAGCCCGACCCGACCGTGCCGAGCGCGGCCGAACCGAGCCGTACCTAGCCGAACCGAGCCGAGGAGCCGAACCGAGCCGAACCGAGGAGCCGAACCGAGCCGAGGACGAGCAGAACCGAGTGGAGCCGAACTGAGCCGAGGAGCCGGCCCGAGCGCAGCCGAACCGATCCGAGCGGGACCGGGCCGAGCCGGGCCGAGCGCAGCCGAGCGAGGCCGAACAGACCCGAACCGACCCGAGCGGAGCTGAACAGAGCCGAGAAGCCGAACCGAGCCGGGCCGAGCGCAGCCGAGCGAGGCCGAACAGAACCGAGCGCAGCCGAGCGCAGCCGAACCACTTCGTTTCCTCGCCGTTCCCCAGGGGTGAGTGCAGGGGTGAGGGGTCCCGGGGGTCCCTGGTGAGGGGGGGGGCTCAGCAGCCGCACAGCGGGGCCCCCTCGGCTGGGAGCCCGCTTTCTGGGGGTGCTATGGGGGTGTTGGGGTGCTCCCTCCCCTCCTGCGCCATCCCGGGGCGCTTTGAGCTCGTAGTTGCTTTTTTTCCCCTTATTTTGCTGTAAATAATACGCTCCCCCTCGCTCCCGGCAGCGGGCCCCGGGAGGCTCCGGCCCGGCTGCTCCTGGTGCTGCGGGGGTTTTGGGGGTCTCCGGCAGCTCATCCCGATGTCCCCACCCCAAAACCGGCGGTCCCGGGGGCTGCCAGACCCCCCGGCAGCCCGGGGGACCTGCCCGTGTCGCCTTTCCCATGGGGAACCCCCCCGAACACGGTGCTCCACGCGTGGGGAAACTGAGGCGCGGATGCTCCAGGACACCAGGGGGTGTCTCGGGCACCCCCCGGCTTGGGGGACACAAAGCGGGGACCCCTTTTTGGGGTTGGAAAAGATGGGAGAAGTTGGGATGCCTCGTGTCACACGGCTTTTAGGGGGTCACCGAGAGGACACACAGCGTGTGTCCCCCCCTCCCCCGGGAAATCTGGGGGGGGGGGGGGGGAGGCATAGAGAGGGCTGCCCCGAGACTCCAGCCGCCGATTAATTACATTCATGAATTAATTACGAGGCAGGAAAGGATTACGCAGCCCCCAGAGCTTCGGGCAGTCAGATGATGGGGGAGATTTCCTTAAAAAAAAAAACCACCCAAAAAAACCCCCAACAAAAACTAGAAACACAAAGAAAATCTGGTGGTTATTGTGCTCTTGTAAGATAAATAAATAAGCCGGTGCGAGTCCGGGGAAAGCAGGGCCCGTTTCCAGGAATCCCGGCGCTCCTGCGTGTTCCCGGCCCTTGGGGCACGGGGGGGAGTTGGTGTTTTTTATATAACAGAGTCCGGCAGGCAGCGAAGGGAGGGTTTGGGGGGTTATTTTTTCTCTACCCCCACCTCTTCTCTGTACTTCCCTGCCGTGTTTGCTTGGCTTCATGCACGGCTGCTCCGGCCGGAGCTGGGAATGGGGCTGGTTTCTCCCAGCCTGAGCTCGCTCACCTGCTGCAGGAGGGATCCGGCTGGGAAAACCGTGCTGGGGAGCGGTGGGAATTTGGGATTGGGGTGGCTGGAGTTGGGAAACAACCCAGATTCGGGTGGGGATGGTCAGGCCAGCACGTGGAGGGGAGCCCGGTGTTTTCCGAGGGATGCTGGGTTTGCTTCCTGAGGGATTCTGGGTTCGCCTCCCGAGGGATGCTGGCCCGGCGTGTTTTCCAAGGGATGCTGGCCTTGCCTGCCCGCCCTTATCAGGAGGAAACTGCGCCGGGGTGGAGCTGGCTGCAGCGGGGCCATCCAGCATCCGGGTGTTTGGGATGGAGCCGTGATTCCAGCCAGGGATTTTATTGCTTTTTCCACGCTTCACGGCACCGACTTTGCAGCACGTGTGTGTTCCTGGTCCGCCCTGCCCTGCGTTCCCTGTTTCCCTGGAAGTGCTGTTGGGAATGGGAAGAGCCCCTTGGGATGATGTGGTGGGTCACCAGAGCAGAGGGGACATTCCCAGGGCTGAGGGTGGGGTGGTTTGAGCACAACAAACAGGGAAATGGGGCTGGGGGGCCACGCTGGGGGTGTTCCTCTCCAAAAATCCACAGTGCTGAGGGTAAAAACATCCTCTGGCTCCTCCCTTGGAGTGTTGGAATGGGGAGCTGGGAGTCTGATGTGTTGGGATCTCATCCCTGGATTGCTCCTTTCCTGGGGCACAGACAGGGATGGAGCTGCCACATCCCTGTCCCCTCT